GTATTTTTGTGGTTGTGAAGGACCCTCTGTTACATTTTTTTGTTGTCGTTTGGCTCAACAAACATTCGCACGCATTATGAATTTGTAAATATTTATCAGTTTATTACAGTTAAAAAGATGTATGTACATACAGAACACCACCAAACATGGTCATTTTCACTCATTTGCAAAGGAGCACTCTGCAACTAGTTGGTTTCGGGATAACTGTCTTACAATGGAGCGGCATTGATTAAGTTTATCATTTACAACCAAGCACACATATCTTTTACGTTTTTTTTTTTCTTTTTTGTCCATTTTTTCCATGTCCCAGTAACTCTTAGTAAAAGGCATATAAGAAAAAGAAAACAACAGGAGGGAGCTTGGCGAAACAAACCATTGTTAACCTGCTGTTCTTAAATTCAAGTTCCTGCTGCCACCGTTCCACAGGTGGGAGTACACCTCGGACTGGGTCTTGGTCACCGGACACTCACATCGAGGTAGTCATGTCTGCATCCGCTCGTCCAGTCCAGAGAGAAAGACGTTCCTTTGCACATGTGTTCTACCCAAAGACCCACGACCCTCTACCGACACCAAAGGAGGAAAGAAAGAAAAAGAGAAATGCTTATCCATCTCTGCGGGCTGGATCAAATGGTCAAAGACTCTGCTTGGTGAGCATAAGGCAGTCATGGAAAGGTGTGGGAATACTAAAGAAGAGTGTCCGGTTTGCTGAAATATGAAATGGAGAAAAAAAAGAGCGGGCGCATTAAAGGGGCCATTCCACCAGGAGAAACCGAGTTTGATCGTAAAATGTGTTGTGGTGGCTATCATTCTCTAAAAAGTTGCAACTCTTTCCTGAAAACTGCCATGTTCACAACTTCCTGGTCTGAGCCGTTTAAACCTGATTGGATAAAATATCGTTTTACCTTCACAAAACAACCAGGAGTCGGCGGTTTTTGGTGGAATTCCCCTTTAATGCCACAGCAAAGTGAGAAGCAGGCCAATGCACGTCCACCCGGCAGCATAAAGGCATCACCTTCCAATGCACTCATTGTCCTCTTATAAAACCCATCACATTACAGATTTTGTAATACTGAGTCTACTGTAACATCAGATTCTGTACAGAGTAAAAGGAAAAAATAAGACATAGGAAACTAGACCAAAATTTACATTGTAATGACCAGTTGCCTGTCATCAAGTACAGTCAGTGGCCATAAACATGAGAATAACCAAACACATTTAAAAAAAAAAAAAGAAAGAAAAAAGGACCATTAAGGCTGCTCGTCAATGTAGATTAAGTAGTAAGCATTGCCACACAATGCTTCAACACCTTTTGCAATATACAAAAAGGGAGCATTTGCAAATACACCAAACAGCCATTAAATTAAAAGTCTATGCAAAAAAACAAAACAAAAACCAAAAAAACGCCCGACTCTGACCCAGACAGACCCCGGCAGGTGACTTTGAAATGCGTGCGTCAGCTGTACAAAAACAACCAGGCCAGAAAACGTCAAGTTGCATGATCCAGAGGGACGAAGCAGGAGGAGCTCCTCGCGGCCTAAGCATCACAGAGAATAGAAAAAAATGAACCCCCGACACGTCGTCGCTTTGATCCCGCAACCGGGCCTACATTCCACAAGTCTGATAAATGCTCTCCTGCCTGGCCGGGCCTGACCAGGCCTGACCGGCCCTCTGCCCGCCGCCCGCCTCGTCGTACGCTGGCATTCTCTGCGTTGCAAAAAAAACAAAAAAAAAGAAAGAAGAAAAAAAAAATGGCACAACAAAAAACAAAAAATTAAAGACGGAGACCGAATGTAAAAACGGGTCACAGCGCTCAGGCTGCATACCTAATGCACATCTCACTGTGGAGTACTCATTTGTTGAAGGCATTTTTCACACAATTGTTTACAGCTGAAAGTAAAATGCACGATAAAAGGAAACTCCCAAAGCGTTTCTAGAAAAACCCAGGAATTCAAATGCCTCCGGTGTGTTGTCGAGCGTGAACACAGAAAGCCCTTTTTACAATTGTTTTGTCTGTTTTTTTTTTGTTTTTTTCCCCCCCGACAGTCTTGTACTACAACTGCGTTGAGCTCAAATATGCACCTTGTTCCGATCCGGGGGGGGCCGGCGGTCAAAGATCAGCGGGTCTGTCTCTCGTGTGTTTGCGTGTGTGTGTGGGGGGGGTCTCAGAGTGAGGTCCTTCTCAGTGGATCCCCATCCAGCCGCGCTCCGCCCAGCTCCCCTCCACCTCCGCCGGTTTCTGTTTTAAGTCCATGAAAAAGCAGCAACTGGGTTCTGCTGGTAAATTAGAAGCAGCGTTTCATCGCCCGTGCCCCCCCCCCTCCCCTCAAACGCGGCCTCTCCGTGGAGTGGACTTGACTACCGAAACACAAGCCGCTGTAAAGAAAGTAGACCCACACATTTCAACACCAAAACTGAGTTATGACTGGATGAAGGGTTGGGGTGCAAAACATTCCAGGAAAAAAAAAAGAAAAGAGATTTTAAAAAAAAGTCTTCATTGGAATTTTAAAGTACAGTCACTTGAAATAATACTAACTGAACACACATTTCTTTAAAAAACAAAACAAAAACGTCCATTTAAGTTGATTTAGCAGTGCTCCTCTGAACCACAATGAACCATTTTTCTTGCCATGGAGAAAGCAGGATATCGGTATCTTAGAATAGCTCACAGAGTCTACAGAGCCACTGGTACAATTCAAGACTGCGAGCTCTTAAACCAAAGAGTTAACAGCCTGTTCTGAGACTGTCAAACTCTACATTAATAATGCGTACAAAAATGACACAATAAACCACCGTTTTAAAAAAAACAACAGAAAAAAACAAAGTATGGAACAAAATGCCCCCAATCAAAGCAAGAGAAAGAGGCTATTGTGTGTCTGCCTTAATATAGATGATGCCAATGTGTTTTAAAAAAGTGCATAAGAGCAGCAGCATCTCTGGGACAGTGTGGGATAAAATATCTCAATAGAATTTACGTAATTAGAAATCAATATAAATCTCGGGAAAAGTTTTCATTCTTAAGGATATTTAACCAAGAACTTAACATAAAATTTCAGAATATTAACAAGAAAAAGAAGTGTCGTGACAGAGTTACCTGTCCAAGTTTTATTATCCATCCTTTTTGAAGCTCCAATACAATCACCACTTTCTCCAGAGACTTAGAAAACATCTTTAAAAAACATCTGATATGTTGGTCAATGATCAACCGGATGACGGCTATGAAGCTCAACAATGGAGAAAATATCAAACAAGTAAACATAACTAAAAATTGCACTCAAGGCAACCAGAACCTGTGGACATATATAAAAACATTTTCATTTATCCCATCACCTACACACGTTTCAGTTTTCTCCCCCTCAATACCTTTTTGGTGCATAAAATCAACAGAGGGAGCCTTCTCACTGTCCGATTTAAAACAAACAAAAAAAAATAGTCCCCCCCCCCCATCATGAATGATTGCCACTGCTGCTTTTTGTTACAAAATGTCTCTAATTGTCACTGTTTACAATTGATATCTCTAGCATGACAACTTAATGATCCACTTCATAGTTTTATCCCCCCCAAAAAAAAAGAATAAAAAAAAGAGAAAAGTAAAGACAGCAGTTATGGGGAAAAAAATGTAAAAATCATTTTCCTAATAAGAATCAAGTTTAGAAATGAACCACTGGATCACTCTAAACATAGGCACAGTTTTTTGTATTTTCCATCGTTTAAAAAACAAAAAAAAAAAAAAAAAAATGGGGGGGGGGCTTTAAGAAAAAGAAATCGTAAGCACGCCATCATTAGACCTTTGTTCTCTATGGTCAAGAAGCTGTTAGCACAAATTATGACCAGGGACAATTATGTTTTGAAAAATATCAAAAGAAAAAATGAAAAATGACAAAGTTTAAAAGTACGGCAGCAGCAGTAAAAAAAAAATTAAAAAAAAAAAAAGTTCCAAAGACTTGTTTTTGCATACAGTTGTATCCTTGCTCACATAACAGACGCTGTAATTACTGTAAATACATTGGCAATGGGAGCACAGTTTATAAGGTTGAAGACTTGCCACTTAGCTCACTAATGTGTGTGTGTGTGTGTGTGTGTGTGTGTGTGTGTGTGTGTGTG